GTGTTGAAATAAAGATAATTACAACGATTTGTTTTTCCTGCATTTTTATTTTATGGATATCTCAAATACAGATGGAACATACTGGCAAAAAATATAAAAAGTGGGATTTGCACGCCCAACGTAAAGAATATTTTCATTCTTTATTTCTTCCTCGCTTTACCTGAAGAAATTCATGTCATTTCTGCTTTATCCAATTGACATCTTCCTAATCGACAGACGAGACCAGGACAACAATGACACTAGAAAGATGTACAAGCTTTTATAGTATATTACATTTCAATTAATGAATAACGAACTGATTAAAACATTACTTTATACTTAAACAAGAGCGAATGGGAACAATATTCGATCACCCATATTATTAGTTTGATTTTCTTTTGTTGTTGTTGTGAACGGTGAACAAAAGAAAAAAAAACCCACCAGAATCTATAAGAGTGAAACATTCAAATGTGAAAGAATTGAAATGACTATCAAACTCGTTAAAAAAATGCTTTAGTAAACCTTTATCACATCCCAGATAACTCTAAAAATATCATAATGATCAAAGGTTGGGAATACAAATAAAAGTTTATTACTTTTGTCTTACCCACATTAAGCCACAAGCCACTTTGTATTACATGTTTACAGCAACAGCCAAAATATTTTGAAAATAATATTTTCCATTCCCCCTGTGTTCAGATTATACTAATCAGTTGCTTGTTGATGCGTCAGGTGGAACAGTAAAGGCTGCCTAGTTTCTGTATAGCATGTTTCAAATGAAACTTTTGATATATTCATGGTTATCCCCTTCCCCTCCTAATTGTGTAGAATTTCCTAATAAAATGTGACGGGTCACCCAAGATTGTCCTACATATTTAGTGGGAATAAAGTCTTCGTCAAATATTTAATTAAGGCAGATTAACACCGTAGGACGGGCGATGTGAATCTTTCGGACGATTTCGTGACCAATTGCATCAACAAAAAAGGTCTAAGGGTTTGGTTCCTCTTATATAGTGTGTGGCATTATTAGTATTATTTAGCAAGATTTAGAGGTTGGCGCGTCCAATAATAAGTATTTTTACCCGAACTATACTTTCATTGAAATATACATCACGTCATTATACGTGTATTGGTTGAATCTGGCTAGAGATTTATCTACCAAAGGGTTTGGTTTCAATTTCGCGCAAACGTACTAGAGGGCTATTTTGCTAGTTTTCCATACTATAGCAGTGATAGCCTAGAGGGAAGGCAGCTATTCAAGACCACCCACCGCCAACTCTTGGGATACTCTTTTACCAACGAGTAGATGTATTGACTGTTACATTATAACGCTCCTAAGGCTGAGAGGGCAAGCATGATCGGTGACGGGGATTCGAGTCGAATGTCATACCACCAGGTCGTCTCAGGCCCACACCAAAAGCGTATAAGACTAATACACAGGCCTGCGAATTTAAACTTCATAAAAGTTGTTTTGGTTTTAATAACGGATTTTAAATAATTCAGGTACGCAAATTTCGAAAATAATATTGATTTTTTTTCTGTCACGTAAGGATTTTTTTTATAAATCGTGGAAAAAACTTTTACTTAGGTCAAATTATTATTTCGTTTACCACAATGATCACTTTTTGTTATCATGTTTGTTAGAAATTTTACAAACAAACTGAAGAATAGGGAAGAATATTGATGCCAAACGAATATGCATCCTCATTCATCCTGATTTTTTGTGTGAAATCTACGTCTTTTAGTCTCAAACTACGTGTTGTGGTCTTTCTTTTATGTATTGTGTTATGACGTTTCGTAAAAAATCTGTACGTTATAGAGAAAAATGGATATCATTTTCGGATTCAGCGTACAGGAATTACTGCAGAACATGTAAAAATTCCAAGACAATAAAACCATCACATGCTTGGGTAATCTGTCTCCAAGAAGAAGTGTGATTCAACTATTGGAAGAATATTGTTCTACATCTCGTTGGTCAACGGGATATAATATTGTAATTATTACGGACAAAACGCTTTATGCGCCTGGTGTAAAGATATTTTTCTGAAGATGCTTCTAACTAGTTCTACACAAAAATACTACGCATTAGTGTCTCAGTTCTTTTTTCAGTTCAGTATTGGAACAGAATTAATGGATAGTACTTGTATTTTTTTCTATTTTGTTGTTGTTGTGAACGGTGAACAACAACAACAACAAAAAAAAAAATAAGAAAAGAACACCAGATTTTTATAAGATTGAAACATTCAAATGTTCTTTATGAGTCATAGCAAGGTATGATAAATAATGGTTGGGTTAACTGGCGTTCTTTGTCGTAGCTGTAATATAATATTGGAATTGTGATTATCCTTATTTATTGTGTATATTATCTGAGAAACTAGTGAATAAGTAAATAAAAACAGTCAAAAATAAACAAAATAGGAAAACGTTTGCATGAAAATAATTCTTCCAAAAAAAAGGCATATATAAAAAAAAAGACTCACCAATTTCCCTTTCGGCAAACAGCGGACTTTAAATGTTGTTTCTCCTGCATCATCTTTGTTATCTTCCTGAGCCGTAATCAAAACTACCGTGACGAAAAGTATTGCTAAGATCACCCACTTGCTCATCGTAAAAATTAAGAAAGCTGCAAAGTGAAACAAAAGATATCAGGAAAAGCAAGAAAGATCAATGAAATACCTCATGATTTCAGAAACATATCTTTATTAGATTCTAATAATATGATTCAAAGTGTATTCCGTGAAAATATAAAATGTTATATTAGTTTAAAATATAAAATATATTTACCTAGTTGATAGTTTCGAAAAGGTAAGATAATGTTTACATAATTCTAAAATATATTGCGATCCCATCAGTAAATATAAATTCCATCCTTATATTTACTTAGTTTAATTGTAATGTTTATGTTTTGTAACCCCGAAAAAAAGTGAAATGTTAAATACAGTGGTTACATATAAATTCTTATAATCGAGAAATTTTCGTTTACCACAGAATTCTTCGTTGCTGACAATACTTATGGCTGTGGTTCAACTGGCTTTATATATATATATATCATATCTGCTATAAATTTAACTTTTTGTTAGTTGAGAAATTACATGCACTGGTGAATGTCGAAACTTTCATTATTATTTCGCAAACATTGACAATGAAAGTATAATTTTTATATTTTTTTAGTGTGCGTGTATGTTTTGTCATGGGAAAGCCACTTTGGCAATCTGCTGTGTCCACCGAGGGGAATCGAATCCTTGATACCTTTTTTACACAATGAAGGTTGTAACCAAACGCAGATAAAAATTCATATATTTCAAATAATGAATGTCTTATATATATATTTATTCACATAATATAAATATTAAGTCATAATACAATTATATGTTCCGAAATTATCAAGTATTTTTGTTGTTCTTCTTTTCCTTACCTTGGAATGTTGTTTTTTAACTTTCCGACATGTCTAAGAAATTAGATCAACCTAACACTACTATTAGACACGTATGTGATGTCCAAGTAAAACCATCGCAGGCTTGTATAATCTCTCTCCAAGGAGAAGTATGATTCAACTATTGGAAGAATAATACGCATTGTTTTTCTTTTGTTGTTGCTTTGTTCTTTTTCAAAATAAAATTAATTCCATGTGGGATATACATTTTTCAAAACATATTCAGAGTATACCTCGATAACGAAGGTTATCCACTTTAGTTAAGCAGCTTACAAAAATCTGTTTTTATATTAAGAAGTAAAGTATTTGTTTTAATGTTTATATGAAAAAATATATACGATTTCTTTCAGTATCACTGAATGCTTTCCAATTTTAGTATACAAAGTTAACGAGTTATATGAAATAAGTCAGTTTAATTGTAATATAAATCATGTTTGTACGCATTTTAGAAATAACCGTTATTTACTTCTGTCTTATCTACAGCATAAAATTGTCTCCATTGAAAACAAAGTATTTACGGTTATTTTATAATAAAGCTTAAAAGGTGCGAAAGAGTAGTCACACTTGTTTTTAATATGAAATATCTTACACTATTTCAACATGTTAAATATTTTTCACAATCTTTGAAACATGTTTCTAAATCTTTTTGATAGATAAAACATAAACAATACCCCCTAATGAAAATGAGGTTGTCTGAAAACATTTTGTTGTATTGTTTGTGGTATAAAATAACTTTTCAGGTAACTAAAACTAAGAAATATGTTCATATTCAGCGTATTTAATTCAAAACATGCTGCACTATGAATCCAGGTGTGAAACCTGTTTATAATGATGCCATTTTCGTAGTTTCTCAAATACATAGCAATACGTATCACAATTTTGTGTACAGAATAAAATAATAGGATATTCATGAACATTTGTAGTGTTATGTTATTCTTACTGACTTGCTATGAGTCCTCACACACATTTGAAAAACCGTTGATTCCCTTTTGTGCAATATTTATTCAAGACAGAGAAATAATTATTGGTTAAGTAAATTACATCATAAATTTCGAAATTTCTCTACCAGTGGGAAGAGATAACAATATTGTCATTTCAATATGCAAAAAAGGGAAATCCTATAGACTTCCCTCCGAACACATATATAAATCGAAGTTTCGTCACAAATTCGTAGCAAATTCTTTATTAATCGGATAAGGCGACATAGCTTCAATGAGTGAAAAGTTATGTGGGCTTATAACAAAGTGTATTTATATTTCAAATTTACACTGTTAGGAGACATTGAGACATATATGTGGAGAACTGGTTTAAGATAGATAATATTAACTCAAAATCAGAGAATGCATTTATGACATTTAGAGTTATTTTAGGGCTACATGAATACCAACAGTTACAAAACTAATTCAAATTTGATAAATAAAGTGTCATATTATTTTATTAAACACTAAACACATTATCGAATGATATAAGAATAAGTGTAAATACGCTCCATGATTTTATCAATTATTATTTTACATTCTGATGAGCGGTAAATCCACCGATTTACAACGCTCAAATCAGGGGTTCGATTCCCTTCGGTGAAACAGGAGATAGCCTTATGTGGCGTGTCTATGCAACACACACCCACCCACATTCTGAAAATCTTCTCATAATATGCCAGCCAACGCCTAATCGGATGTGGCGTGGCTATACAAAACACACACATTCTGATAATCTTCTCATTATATGCCAGCCGACGACTAATCGGTATTATGCTTGGACTCTAAATTGCGGATCACGTTATTTCAAAAACGTGCTCCGCACTTTAACAGTCAAATTTAACTAGCTGGTTAAACCAGAATAACTGTGGGTGTGGACTTGCTGCTTTCCCTCTGTTTCATTAGTTCTAACTTTCGATAATACATAGATTTCTCTAGTGAAGCTTTACGATAATTTTCAAAATCAAATAATTTAATTTATATATTTCCATTTACTACTTTTTTAGTTTTTGTAATGCCCAACTGGATCTTCGTAGTTTAATATTAGTTACATTTCTTGTTTCTGTTACGGTTCGAAAATCCAACGCAGGTATTAGAGATCAGGAGAGGCTGAAAACACTTGTGTCAAGACATAGGGCAGAAAATAAGTTTATTTATTTTGGATGGAAAGAAAAAAAATGAAAACATTATTTTCTCTGTTAAAACCTAAAAGTTCTTTTATATTATCTAACCTATATACTAATGATTTTATGAGTTAAAAGTATTTATATAACAGAAGAATGTGAAGGCACTTGAATATTCTAAATATGATAATTCTATATTGTTCTCGTTTTTCTCTCTCTTTTTCTGTGTTGAATAAAATTGCGATATGCTTAATGTTTCTTTACTAAAATTGTTAATATATGTCTTAATTCTGCCCTGATCTTACTTGTGGAGATGATGATAAACAAATATCAATATGAATGCCTTTGCTAATATAAACATTGCAAAAAAATCATTAAACTACTAAGGGGAATAATTGTTTTCAAAATACTGGATATATAATCTGTACTTTTTATTCACTATTTATATTGTCATTAAAATGTTCTCTCTCTCTCAAATTCAAATCGATTGATGGTTAAGAAATATGTAACAGAAAAAAAAAAGTTTTGTTTTTGACACATACTTAGAATGGTTTAGAAATACATAAAGGTTCATGGTATAGTAAATAAGAACCGGGTCCTTTTTATAACAGCAATAAACATCTTTGAGTACATTTTTTAGAAAAGGAAAAAAAAACATGCGTTCATATTAATGTTGTACAAAATTTTCATATAATCTTATAAATCTCTTTGACTTACATTGCATGGTACTCATATATAGAATTTGAATCAATATCTTAAAATATAATGATGTTATTATTTGCTATATATCATTGTTTCTACTAAACACAGTTTATTTATTAAATTAATAAATAATTCATTCTACTCATCTAGTTTAGTTTTGAAGTAACAAAGAAACAAAATTTTCAGTCTAGATTTTTATTTTGTATTTATGACAAAGCTACTGAGGATCTCTGCTGCAGACCTTAATTTTGATCTACTGATTAGAAATGTGAACAGCCAGTTAGCAGCACCTTACTACCCACCTTCATTGCTAAGGGATTTAGTGGTACTTTTATAATGCACTCTAAGCTGAAAGCGGTGGGAATATTTTGTGGTATCACACGAATTCAATTGTTTGTTTGTTTGGCTGCCCACCACGGGTATCGAAACCCGGTTTCTAGCGTTGTAACTCCACAGACCTGCCGCTGTGCCACTGGGGGGGGGGGCACACGAATTCAAATCGCCAGCTCCGAGTCTAAAACTCTACCATAGGGCCAATCAGCGTCCAATTTCAACTTATTCTACATCTTATAAAAGCTTAATTAACTCTTTATCATGATTGTTCTTCCTTGCTCTCTGAATTATTTTAGAGTACATAAACATAGTTTTATCTTTAAAACCTTCCTGTAGTTCGACGGTTAACTTAACCATTTATAACGCTAAAATTCGTTGTTCCATTCCTACCGTCTGTTTGGGAGCACTGCGCTTAAATAAATATTCTTTCATATTTCTATTTTAAATTATAAAGCTCATTTTTCAATTTACTTACTTAATAAAAGCTAAAAATCGCCAGGAAAAAAAAACAAAAATCGCATCTTTAGAGCTAATAATTAACTTAAATTGAGAGCTCTCATTGCTAATATGAATTCACTCTTATATCATGGAGTTTTAGCCTAGCATAATCCCCCTAAATTGTGAACTTGGTCTGCTCATTAGATATAATGTAATTAAATATCATAAAGTCTTCCAGCGTTTCTTCCGCCTAAAATAACAACTTACAACTTCAGCATTAAGCATCAAGAGTGATAAAGTAAACGGGTGTAAGTCAATACATTCGACGACTGAGAATGTTAACTGACCCCACTGAGGATCATGCTGCTTGGCATCTATAATGACTTCTTCTTTGTCACTCGAAAATAAGAATGAATGGCTTAATCGGGAAAAAAATCAAAGTTACTTTACTATAGGAAGGTCAGCAGTGGAAAAGTCAAATACAAAGGTTATCGCTAAACTAAGCTAGTTAGTTAGCATACGTACAAGCGAGAGCAAAACCTCATTCCTGCAATAAGCCCTTGAAACTAGCAACATCCTAAACTATAAATCAAGCTTTAGTTCTACCATAAGTTTCTTCTGTCTTGTATAATTAAAGTCTGAAAGCTAAGGAATAATGAAGTCAAAACAATTAAGTTAATCTTTGAAGTACTAATTAAAATCGAAAGGCTCTATCTTGAAATATTAGACTGTGTATTAACCAATAATATATTTTAACTACTATTCGTACATTGCACAAAATTTAGTAAAATCCTTTTTGTAACTAATATTCTGAAAATTGAATAAAATTTGACTTTTTTTGTGTGAATTATGACTGTGTGTCCTTTTTTATCGCGTAAACAAAGATACAAGATATGTATAAATGTATATCAAAAGAGCAGTTATGATTTCACAAAGGCAGAAGCACAAAAGGCCAGGCTACAAACATCACATAGATAATCGAGTAGGAGAGGAAAAATAATCAAGTTGTATATTTATGTTTCATCGACTACACCAAGACATTTTGCTGTATACAATATGAAATACTATGACCCATATTTGATAATATGGGATTTCCAACACACATAACGGAGCTGATGAAGTCTTAATACGTTCACCAGAAATCAAGGGCGTAAACTGAAAGTGGGAACTGGCTTAATATTGGCCAAGGATCAAGAAATTTTGAAACTTGTTCCTTTCTTTATTTAATATCTATGTGGAAAATATAATGAGAAGTTCACTAACGAGTTTAGAGGGTATCTGTGGAATAAAGATAGCGACAGCGATTAACTCGAAACTAGTAGCAACAAGAATATTGTAAAATATTCCACAAAAATAAATACGTTGGCCTTCAAATTTATGAGTTATGTCCTCCGAAATTTTGTAACATTGGATAACTTATATTGTATAAGTTGTGATTATTAAACATTAAACTATAACGTATTTAGAAATTGAAACTGTATAACTTCAAAGTTAAAAGTGTCTGCTTTATTTAAAACTATGAAAATAAACACTTTATCTATATCCAGCTGTGTTCATACTAAAAAACGTTTCTTTTTACAGTTAATTGTAGGAAATAAATGTGTTTGACAGTGTCAAAATAACATTGATAATAAACTAAAGATTATCTTCAGTATATCCATTAACGGGGCTAAAGCTTAAATTTCTACTTTAATCCTGCTTTCTAGCATTCCTAATGTATAAAAATTCAAGTTACAATAAATGTAGGTCATGTATCTTGTGGGCTGAGATTATGTCCCATAAGTATTTCCTGTATATGTTCAAAAACATTTAAGTTGAATTGCACAAACGTGTTGTCAAATGCTGCATATAATAATACTGCTAAGTTGATCAAATTATATATTGCTAAAATCTAATAAAAGTTGTAAAGTTTGTAGATAAGCACAAAGCTACACAATAGGCTATCTTCGCTCTGCCTACCACGGGTATCGAAACCCGGTTTGTAGCGTTATAAGTCTGCAGATATACCACTGTGCTACTGGTGGAGAAATAGTTCTAATGTGAAACAAGATAACATTCGGCAAAGAACAAAAGACCGACAAAACTACTTCATGATTTTAGAAAGCATATCCGTATTACGATTTGTTATTAGTACTAAAATTGTATTCTTTAAAAAGTTTATCATGTAAAAGATATTTAACTGGTTGAATGTTTTGAGAATGTATAATAAAGAATACAGAATTATAAATATATTTGAATCCCATGAATCTACTGATATTAAAGCTTTCGATCCAACATCTTATGCTTTCGTATTTTAGTGAAACCCTTAGGTTATGTGTTCTAACCCCCCCCAAAAAAACATTTTGAATACAGTTTTAGATATACATATCTATAAGTCAGGGATTTTCACTTAACACAGAATTCCATATATATATATATATAAGTGTCAAAGACGAAATAAAACAAATTTTACTTTATAAAAATTTAATTAGTGATACTGATAAAATGCGACTCTATTGTAATATTATACAGATTTATGAAACTAACTACATTCGATTTCAAACATATTGTGTAGATTTCAAATTACAAATTTCCACATTACTTGGTTTATCTTACAGTAATAAGAAGGGACACGTCCATCACCAACTTAAAATCAAATCTTTTTCCACATGAGCTGTAATTAATATATTTGTTTGTTATTTGAAGAAAATGTTCTTGTGATTTGCAATATTGTAGCGAATGTTTCTATGGTTATACTATGTTTCTGTGCAAAGAAGAAAGATATTTCTATCAAATGGACATAATTATATTGATAAAAGAAACGATAGAGCAACAATTTTATGTAATCCCTGTATAAATAGACTAAAGATATAACATTGTATAACATTCACTAAAGAGAATGAATAGGATCCCCAGTGTTTAAACTTAAGCCATAAATGTACTATTAAAAATAAGATACATTACAACCTTACAACTGATGTGGGAATTAGTGTCTGAAGAGTCATCAGATATGGTACTTTCAATGTCGATTTTCATAAAGAATCAAGTTAACATCATATTCAGATATTTTTAAGAAGTCAACACAATAATACATAAATGATTAAAGAATTATGAAAAAAGGACTATTTTCGACAGGCAAAGCTTCTAACTAAAGGGTCCGAGCAAAATTGTTCCTGAACGTCCAAGCTCAAAAGGTCGAGAAGGGATAACGTTCACTAACGGCAGTAGAGGACAAAAAGCTAATTAGGAAACCGTGACTTTCAATTATGGTTGAGTTCAAATCCCATCTCATTATTGTTCGTATTTTTTTCATATAGTTTAAACTGCTAAAACTGATTTTTCAACTTTAGATAGTAGCTGTTCATTCATGTTTTTTGTTTTGTTTTTATTTGAAGGAGATCGTTTCGTTTGACTACTATCAACATAATTAGAAGAACAAGGAATAGAATGAATACCCTTTTTGTAGTTGGATTATACCTTATCTTTACCTTTGTTTAAATTATTTGCATGTTTGTTCACTGGCTTATGATGTACACATGGTTTAATTCTATTCAGTTTTAAACCAATTCTACTCCGTCCCTTGACAAAGTTGGCCTGTCTAAACTTGTCGGGTTTTGTTAATTCTTTAATCCTTTGTGCATTATATTATTGACTTGTTTTACTTTTCTTGTATTGAAAGATCTGTTGTATTCAGTAAAAGTAGAATATTTTTTAAGCAGGAGCTGCTTTAGAATCAATAGGATATGCATAGCTCCTATTTATAATAACATGAAGAATTTTAGACAATTTCAAAATTTTACATATTACTTTCAAACTATAGTGCATTTTCAGTAGTGCTGACCTACGTAAATGCCATACTTAATTTACGTTTAAGAGGAGATGTAGACATTTTGTATTTCATTTTGTAATTAAAATAAAACAACATAGTGCAGTAAGTTTTGAATTAAATTTGATTGAATATGAACCTATATTTTAGTTTTAGTTATGTGAAAAACTATTTCATCTCACAAAAAATACAGCAGTAATTTTTAAGAGAACCTCATTTTCATTAGGAAGTATTGCTTATAGCTTATCTGTCAAAGTGATTCAGAAAAATGGTTCAAAGTTTGTAAAAATATTGAAATAATGTAAAATATTTCATATAAAAATAACAGGAAATATGTTCTTGTACCTTTTAAGCTTTAATAAAAACAATCGTGAATACTTTGCTTTCAATGGAGGCAATTTCCTGCTGTAGATAAGGCAAGTAAATAATGAATATTTGTATAATAGGTACAAACATGATTTGGATTACATTTAAACATAGATTAACTGACTTATTAATATAATGCGTTAACTTTATATAATGAAGTTGGAAAGCATTCAATTATAAGGAAATAAATCGTTTATAATTCTTAATATAAACACCAAAACAAATACTCTATTCCTTAACATAAAAACATCTTCTTATGTAAAATACTTAACTAAAGTGAATAATATTCTTTATCATTGTATTCTCTAAATTCTTTCAAAAATGTATATCCCACATGAAATTAATTTTATTTTGAAAAAATAAAACAAGAACAAAAGAAAAACAATAACCATTAGAAGTCAAAAATCAAATGTAAATTACCCTGTTTTCGTAACACGAAAACAAAAACAATTTTATAACGCGAAATAACATGTGTACGAGATCATAGCCCTAGTGGTACAGAGATGTGTGTGTGTGTGAAGACTTATAACGCTAAAAACCTGGGTTTCATTGGAATATTAGCAATCTAACATTAAAAAAATCACAAGCCTGCATCTAACTTCTACTTATATGTGTAAAGAGCATTTTAGTTCATTGCAACATTTTCGTCATTATTTTAAACTCTTGTGCACTTTATTGATTTACGGAGAGAAAACGTCTTTTTCATTTTTAAAACTTGTTTCTCTTGTAAGCCCTTTGGCAATCAAGATTTTCGAATAATAATGTTATATTTTCAAGACATTTCGAAAGATAAACTTTTGCAATTCATGTATTCACTCTTTGTTGGGTACATTCCCTAGTATATTTCAAATGATATGAGAATTTTGTTTTAGAAATGAGTGTTTCAACTTGTAAGAAGAATTCTAGTTTTAAGTGTTCTATTTGTAGATAAGAAACCTGTTTTTTCACCTTTAGGTAAGCTAAACAGAATAATTGGGAAATCCGTAACTTACAATTTACACAATATTTCTTGATGAAGAAATTAATTGTTTTTATATGACAGTATTACATTACAACAGAGACACCTTTGCTACGAATGACGAAAAATAATATCACCAATTAAATATCTAGAAATTGAAGATGTTTTCTTCTTCTTTGTAGATATTATACATATATATATGTGTGTGTAAAGCCAATTGAATCACAGTCCATAGTTCTGTCAGCAACTGTGAAAGAAACTGAGGAATTCTGTGGTGAGTGAAAAGTTCTTGATTAAGATAATTTATACCTCACAACTGTATTTACCAGTTAAGTTTTTATTTGGGGTTACAAAACATAAACATTAAAAATAAAGTAAGTAAACATAAGGTAGGAGCCTAAAAGATGATTATATTGTTAGATTTAGTGATGGGATCAGAATACATCTTAGAATTATGTAAACTTTATCTAACCTTCTTGAAACTACCTACTATATCTTATATTATAACCAAATATAGTTATATTTTTTCACGGAATACACTTTTAATCATATTATTAGAATCTAGTAAAGATATATTTCTGAAATCATGAGGTATTTCATGATCTTTCTTGCTTTTCCTGATATCTTTTGTTTCACGTTGCAGCTTTCTTAATTTTTACGATGAACAAGTGGGTGATCTTAGCAATACTTTTAGTCACGGCAGTTTTGATTACCGCTGAGAAAGACGACAAAGATGATGCAGGTGAAGGAACAGGAAAAGGTCACTGTTTGTGGAATGGGGAATTGGTGAGTCTTTTTTTGTATACTTCTTTTGGAAGAATTTCTTTCATGCAAATATTTTCCTATTTTGTTTATTTCTGACTGTTTTTATTTACTTATTCACTAGTTTCTCAGATAATATACACAATAAATAAGGATAATCACAATTCCAATATTATATTACAGCTACGTCAAAGAACGCCAGTTAAACCAACCATTATTTATCATACCTTGCTATGACTCGTAAAGAACATTTGAATGTTTCAATCTTATAAAAATCTGGTGTTCTTTTCTTATTTTTTGTTCACCGTTCACAACAACAACAAAATAGAAAAAAAACAATGCAAGTACTATCCATTAATTCTGTTCCGATACTGAACTGAAAAAAAAAGACATGATATACTTATATGTGATACTTTTGTGTATCACTGGTTATAAGCATCTTCAGAAAGCCATCTTTACACCACACGCATAAAGCATTTTGTCCGTAATAATTAAAATAAGTCAAAAGTAATAAACTTTTATCTGTATTCCAAACCTTTGATTATTATGATGTTTTAAGAGTTATCGGGGATTTACTAAAGCATATTATTTTCTTTAAATTTTCAACGAGTTTGACAGTCATTTCAATTATTTCACTTATGACTACCTAAGAATGATGTTGATGTGCGTCGTCCCTGTAAAAGTAAAGAAATAACATGCCATACGTGTCTCAAGTACCTTTACTAGTGTTTTGTACATTACAATTGTCATTTAGCTGTTTGGTTTAAAGTAAGTATGGTATTTAGATTTCCAGAATGTATCGGCATAAATACAAAAGAAAATCAAACTAATGATATGGGTGTTCGAATATTGTTCCCATTCGCTCTTGTTTAAGTAAAAAGTAATGTTTTAATCGGTTCATTATTCATTAATTGAAATGTAATATACTATAAAAGCTTGTACATCTTTCTAGTGTCGTTGTTGTCCTGGTTTGAGCTGTGTCCACGGAAGATGTCAATTTTTCGTCGGATGATATCACAAGAATGACATGCAGACGTTCAGATAGAACGAGTAAAGCATACAGATGTAGGAGAAATATATATAATTTCTTTACGTTCGCCGTGGATATCCAACTTTTTATATATTTTTTGAAAATATTTTCTATTTGAATTTTAAATATCTTTCTACACGAAATAAAAAAATATTTGAGAAAAACGAATAGCTGCTGTTATCTTTATTTCAACGCAGTTTCGGAGATTTTCGGAAGCATAAAAAATACACATCTTATGGCACGTAGAGCGAATAATAATAATAATAATATTTCACGTAATTGAAAAATACTACTTTCTTATTTTCTATAGTTCTTAACGTACTATTAAATTCTGCATTATAGTTTTGATTAAATTTCTAGTTTCTCTTTATTAACAATAGCAAACAGAATAGGTAAAATGTATATCTTATAAACTACGAATTGATTATTTGTAAGGTGTAATTTACAGTTTATGCATATACTAGAATATGTTACAAACATATAGTACTGAAAAGAACAGTTTGTTCTTATCAACCTAAATTATTCAGATTCTAGATATTTATCTTATGCGTAATATTCATATTCATACATTAACTTAACTTACAGTTTACCTAGCTATATAGCTCTGATTTCATTCTTACGTCCAAGTTAAATATAGTGAGACTTAAATATTAGGTTTCCTAAAGATCATTCGATTGTCGTCTTCCGCGACACGATTCATACAGTTTAAGTACATAGCATATTCTGTGAACTCTGGACTAGCTTCTTCATGTATATTATATTATGCATAACATGCTTCATGGTTTATACATTGAAGATGAATATATAAATTTAACTCACAAGCTGCATAGGGACCTTTTTCGATGTTAACCTAAAACAATCAAACTGTAGATATACATGATATAAAATAATTAACTAATGTCGTATATTCAGACGAAAATGGGAAGTGTATTAAATTCGTAATAACAAAAAAATGCTTTAATAAGCAAATATTAATAATTTGTTTCTTCGCATTAGTTTGTTTGATTGTTTGAATTTAAACACAAAGCTACACAATGTGCTGTCTGTGCTCTGCCCACCACGGGTTTCTAGCGTTGTAAGTCCTCAGACTTACCGCTGTGCCACTGGCGGGCTCTTCGCATTACACTATTTGTATAGTGTACGATTTACTCATGTCATTATGCATAGATAATTTTATCTAACTATCTACATTGTCCTGAAAAGGACTGTTCATGCTACTTTAAGAAGAAAAG